AAAAAAAAAAAATAATAATAATATAAATCCCTCGGGCTTCTTCCAATTTTTAGCCGAAAAGTTGACCTACTTTTTTCTTCCATTGCCCAAAGCACAGAAAGTCAACACAAACAACTTTGATAATACTATTTTTAAGGAAATGATGTTATTTCTTTAATTTACATTATTTGGAACATTATGGTGGCATTTGGTCGGGTTTAGTTGCAAAAACTTGACATAAGCACTCGCCTAATACGATGTATGCATCTTAAGGCTTACCAGGAAACAAATATAAAACTGCTGTTCTTTTTTTTTCAGCCTCAAATCTGCAGTGGCAACAAAAGGGTTCATAATCGACAGGATGTTCATAGCTCGTTTAATTCCAACTTATAATCCTAAGGAGAAACTTAAATGGTAATGTTGGCTTTGTTCAATAATGTGGCGACAGGGAGCCACTAGAATGTCATCAGAGTGGTACTGCGTGTGTTGTGATTAGTATGAACATCACCTGAACTTATTTAGCCATATGACAGTTATTTAAGTTGGGACAAATGCTTTAATCCAAAGCTGGCCATACACCTTCTGTCCTGTTATGATCCGTAGCCGTTCCATTTGAAAGATAAGCGAATAAGGATCAATTGAAATCGTGCTTTATAAAAGCAATTACAAATATGATTCTGGCGCTATCTATAAAAACTTAATGATCATTTATTATGAATAAGTACTGACACTTAAAACATCACAATAAAATAAACGTTATTAAAAATCATTAAAATTCTCTCCAAACAGTCTATTTGAAATATGGAACAACTATTGGTGTGGTACGTCATTCTATGGGAGTTTTCCGGAGAGTCACACCGTCATTTTCACGTTATTCCACGATGTCTCTTGGCAGTGTTCGGTCATCGAACAACCACATGATTCTAGAGAAAGACGAACGTAGTCAGAACAATAAACTATATTTATCACCCGAGCGTAACAACCTGTTGCATTAAATTGGTTCATAAAGTAATACCTCACGCATCACACGATCGCACTATATTTTGCGCTCGATCTCACCATGTTTACTTTCAACATACATGTACGTAACGCATTTTCAAGTGAGGGCGTTCTGAGCTTATGGGTTTTTTTTTTAATTTTTTTTTGTACCAAATATATTTTGAAGCTTAACTTTTTAACACCTTCATGCATACCCGGAACTTCGGTATGTGCATTCTGATCCATCTACATGAAAACATTGTACCAAAACTTATTCTGCCTTTTTTCACAAACAACGGAAACAACATCACGTTTTTTAAAGATGTCTTCGAATTCACAGATAGCTACATGTACATGTGCTGCGCCTTTTAGGCTCGAGTCACGCTGCATTATAAGGAGCGTCGTTTTCCCATATCAAAAGTGTTACAAATAGCTGGGACTGTGGAGAATCTGCACGACACACGTGCAGTCAAGCCAATAGGAGTTAAGTAACGATTTGAGGTGAAGCAGGATGGGAAATCTCTTTTAATACAAATCTCCAATCCGATTTAATAAAGGTTAGGAGGAACGTTTGAGAGTAAAAAGAGGATAAACTTTTATACGCATAGTCCGGATTTTAATGAGCATAAACATCTATTCCAGTTAATATTAATAATTATTGACAGGACTTCAAATTGCTGTTTATGAATTGGGCGAATTATTTTTACCGCTGCACATAAGACGAACCAAATTTAAATTATTCCGACTTGTGTCACTGATTGCTGAAAAAAAAGGCATTAACTGCCCTTCGATGATAATTTAGTTATAATGTGACTTGATATGATGCTTTTCATTAACATGAAGGTACCCTGTAAATAATAATAATAATAATAATAATAATAATAATAATAATATACTCTTCTTAAAATTGATAATAAAACTATGATAAAGTGCATTGTTCAACTAGCTTATTTTAATTTCATGCCCTGACTTTAAATCACCGTATATTTGGGACTCTTTTCCGTTTGGGCTCCTTATGGCAATCAATTACAAATCTGTTTTATTATCGGCAACTGTCTTTTTTAAGTAACCATAGGGTTGGCTAAAAATGCCAGTCACCTAAAGATGAAGCTTTCTCGCGTAGCTGCAACGAGTCTAAATGACATAATCCTTTCTTCAATGTACTGACTCAACTAGTTGTTTGGTGCATCTCAAGCTGAGATTAATAGTCGACAGGACCTCTCTCCCCTACAGCATGGTCTAGAGCGTCCCAGCAGTGCTCTATGGGATTCAAAGAGAATTAGCAGGTCTATTTTGCTCAATCTTCTGGTTATTAAAGAATTGCTGTGTTCTGCGAGCACTGGAAAGTGTAGCATTGTCATCTTGAATTAGTAAAATTGGCTCTAGCATATGGTACCATTTGGACTGTACATCCGATTTTGTATACTGTATAATCAGTCATTGTCCGAGACAAAAAAAAATGGAATATTGGCTAAGGCAGATAATTCACCATTTTGTCTTTTGTGAAATTTGATGAAAATACATTTAAAAACACATCTGTCGAGATTGTATATTGTACTCATGACCTGAAATGTTAACTGAAGAAACAAAAAAAGGTGTGTTCACAGTATGGTACGACTGACTATATGTCAGATAAGGGCAATGACATTAATGACGTTAATGACTCCGCCTGTCACTTCATGGTATCCCAGGAACCATGATTAGTAAGAATCAGAAAAATCAACACCTAGGAAATAACATCCTAAACCAACACGTTGGAAGCATGTTATGCAACGTGACTATAAGATTGTGTGGGCCACTTAGCCTCAATTTTTTAAAAATATTTTATAAGATTTTAGAAATAACCAAGGATAAAAGAATTGCACGCGAACAGAACACGTTTACCACCATCAGTCTTATACTCGAACAGTGCTGACATCTTATAGTTAAATAGGTAATTAAGCCTTAAAGTCATTACCATTATTTGTTATATCTTATAAGAAAAAGTCTTACAGAATTCAAGTAGCCTGATACAGAAGACATAATTTGATAATGACCAGCCTTCGTTAGTTTCCTTCAAACTGAACAATGTTCATCTACTTCCACCATCGTCGTGTTAATTTTCAAAGCTAGTATAGTTTGTTATTGAGTATGATTGTACAGTAGTTAATTAACACAGTTAATGAATATGTGACGCAGCTTACATAAAAAATAGCAATTTGTAGCTGTTAAAGTGACACCTACGTAAAGGGATTTGCACAACATCCTACCCGTCTGTCAAATACTCTTAGCTTATTGGTTTAATCTAATCAATGCAATCGAAAGCGCTGTGAGCTCGTTTTGTGCATAGCTCAACCAGAGGGCGGGGCTTACATACCTGTCTGTCTACAACAACTGCCAATCAAAATCTCGTACGTTAATGGTCGGCTGAGTGGTATGTGTCAACGTGTGAGTGAGTGTGTGTATATGACCGTATCAGCTGGCAATACTGTAGCAGACTTAAAAATACCAGAACGGCTTGTCACGTCAGTCCAGGAGACGGCACACATTTGTCTTGGGTGTTAAAGTTATAACATAATGGACCTACTTCAGGACGCCCCCGACTTAAGACCGAATACCTCATTAAAGGCACCGAACCGAACAGGCAACAGCCCACAGCTCCTGCTGGACGGGCCTTACCATTTCGATTATCTTCTTAAACTGGTAGTGATATGTACAGGGATCTTTTGCAGCATTTTCTCAGCAGTTATCTTTCGCCGCCCGGTGTTGTACAAGACCATAGCGGCAACGTATCTCTTGTCAGTGATGTCTATATCAGACGCGTGTTACCTGATTTCGGCGTTCATGGTTGGGCTAGAGCGCCTGAACTTCGGGTTTGCTTTGCCTAATGGCGTATGTCAGGCAGTATTGTATGCATCCTACGTGCTGCGGTGCCTTTGTACTTGGCTGGTCGTTATTCTGGCCTTCTTCTCCACCATGTACATCTCCCGGGCAAGAAGAGCACAGAAGCACTTCAGGTCTGTCCACTGCAAGGTGGTTGTGGCGTGGCTGGGACTGTTCGCAGGTATGGCATTCCTTCACCTTACATGGATGTCGGGGGTGGAATCGGGGATGTGTTTCCCACTCTTTGGACTGTATTTCTCAACTTTGGTTGTCATGGAAAAAATAGAAACTTTTATTGTTATAATCCTTCCAGATGTCATGCTATGTACTGTTTGCGTTTTAATAGTTTACATTTGCCTGAGAAGATCTTACTTCAAACGTGACCCGGCACGGCAGACATATATGACCAGCGCATTAGAGACACTCCCAAGTCACATTCAAGATGGGGAGATGAACCAGGGCTTTGCCCAACCGCAAGATCGATCTTCACTGAATGGTGAGGACGCGATCTTCCACGTAAAGATCCCAATCGCGATCAGTTCCTTATATTTTGTGCTCTCACTACCTCAGCATGTTATGCAGGTACGGGTCATCGTTCTACAGATGATATACGGGGACTTCGAGTACAGTCCCTCGCCGGAAGAGAACTTCTTGCACGATGTGTTCCACATGATATCTTTAACTAGATTCAGCATGAACTGTGTTGCATACGCGTTGCTCTCTGCGTCCTTTAGAGCCAATGTCCAAACGCTGTTTTTGCCTTCCAGGTGGTCGCGGTCATTACCTGTGACAAACGGTATGGAAACGATTAGCGTCGCGGGCGAATCGGAGGTTGGAACGGCTATGTTATTGACCGTAAATAATAATGATGTCCAGCGTGCATCGGACAAATTATAAACTTTCGACGACTGGTTTCTATACCAATTATTTGCTGTTAGATAAATCCTTATATTATTATTATTCAGTGATCTTATGTACATGTACTCGTCAACTCGTAAGGCAATAATTTATGACCATTTCCTCCGTTGTGTTAATAGAATCTAACTACTAATGTGGAGTCTCCGGTTTTGTAAACTGTCAAAATGATGCATCATGCAAATTGCTGGTATTAGTAACATATACAATATTGCAAATGGTTTTCAAATACACTCAGAGTTGACCTTACCACTCAAAATTCGGAGAAAATAATATTTTTGAATAATATTTTGTTTCCCCCCTTAGAAGGAGCATGATATTTTAATTACAAGAGTTATTACTGAATAGTATTAGATGTAGGCGTATAGTTTCACGGTAGAAATCTTCAGACGGTAGAGGCAATGTTGCGAGGGAATGGATGTGGCAAAAATCTTCTTTTATCACAAAAATTTACTTTGTTTTAATCAATAATGGTATATCATTACTATTTAGAAAAAGTGTGCACAGTTGGCCATGGGGAAGTTTTCAGACGACAAGTCAATTTTCTTCATTATTACGGCCTGAGCACGATGTCGTGACTGTGAAAAAAGGTAACTTTTTAAGTGCTTCATTACTTTCCACAATAATCCCGACACGTAGACATTTGCAGGTTTAAATCAGAGTCGTGATAGAATAAATCAACAAGCTTTTAGTGAATATCATAGAGAGGGGAATGTACATTTTCAGGCGTATTGAATAATCATGTTACTGGAGCGGAGAATCATATGGTTTTCACTGTTTTATACGAGTAGTAAGGATGTCATGTTAAGTTTGATATATTTCAGTTACCACTTTATGTGTATATATATCATTGTAGATAAGATTTTAATGTCTGTGCAATTAGCTGTTGACACAGATCGCATTACGTTGAATGTTAAGTGTACAGACATATTGTCTAGATTGGCCTCTTGTTTAAATCCGTTGTTAATTTCTGTGCATACACTGAGTGGAGTAAATATACTCTAATTAGCGCAATCCAATGGATTCTTGATTGCAAATCAGATCGAAAAATGCCCTGTGAATGAGAATGCATTTTGAGGACTATTTAATTATAGATATTAAAATTTCGACGCGATTGTGCCCCACCAGCAATCTAGCCGATCTAGTAACAGACATATAGGCCTACTTGTATACACAAAAAGCCTCAGCTGTGATACATCATATAATGAGTTAAACCCACCACTACTTCTTAATTTTTTTTAAACATAGAAACATGTAAGGAGAGTTCCTCTTCCTCCACCCTGAGTTTCCAAGACCACTGCAAACTTTTAAGTTAAAACTAGTATTATTAAAATGTCTCCGCCGTTCCCAGTATGGCAAAGGTAGTATGCTAATAATAGAATTGGGAATTCAGTGACCGCTGAATCTCAGGGTGTCCTTCCCTCACATCAGCAAAGGCTTAGTTACCTCCATTACATATAATGTCGACAGAGGTAATGGTAATGGTAATATTGTGTTTATTCTGCCGGACGCGCCCTGAATTTTCCAGTGGGGTTCATTTTGCTGCGGTGTGCTTGCTAACTACAACTGCCTAGGATCTGTTTCAGAATCCTTAAAACTGGACCCAAGGCCAAGGTTAACCGAACAATGTAGTTAATTCTGAACTAGAGAAAATAACCACAATACTATCGTTAAACTACAATACCGTCATTAAAGTGAGCTGCCACCTGTTTACCCTACATCAAATTAGACCAAAATATTCGGTCTAAATGTCTTTAAATTAGAACCAACCGTTAACTTTAAGTTCCTTTGTGAATCCTTACTTAGTAATCTGCTGACACTTGTTTAAAATTGAACCCCTTCTGGGTTAATGATAGAATCTAGCTTAAGGACAGAGATAATGATGGTATTGTGGATACTTAAGATTTGCCGTGGAAAATAGCATCCATTTTTTAAATGTTGCAATCTCGCTGATGTTAGTTATAGATTACGGCTTAAGTATTTCCTAATCACAGCTATATCCGCTACATCATGAATCGGGTACCCAATTACGCTGGAATAACCCTATTTCCCAATATCGAAGTGATGAACTGAATTTAAGTACATGCCCTGAAAATCCATCTCATCCTCGTTCATTGGAGATTCGGGTAAAACATAGACTGGTAAAGCCAGCCGCAAAGCACCCAAAGAGTGCAGACCTCCGCCAAGACAAAATAACTTTATATTAACCATTAATTGAGAAATGGGCCATCGCCAAAATCTTCTCACTTTTTGCATTATGTTGAAGACAGACTAACTAACGAAACCAAAAACTTAACCTCCTTGCCGGGGGTACTAGTAATAACCGTATATAATCACAGTTGAGATATATGCACCTTCATTATTCACCGCAAACGTTTCCCCAGATGACAGCGATGACCCTCGCCTGTTAAAGCAACACGCTGTACTGTCAGTGAAGTTGACTCGCGAGGTTTAAAACACCAAGTATCACATAGGTTTTTCATTTTTTCCATCCTGTTCCCCACCTCCCCTAACGGTATGGCATTTGTAACAGTATCAGTATCAGTATGCACATGGACCTTGTCTACTTCAGAGTCGGACTAGAGTTGTATCTGTCATATTGTATTGTTTTAGAAAAGGTGGGGACCCCCCCCCCCCCCCCCCCCCGCTCCCTCTCCAGACCAAACCATGATAATGATTATAACTCTTTTTTTTTAAATATATGACTGCAATATCAGGGCTTTTCGGGGTATCCCGTATCATACAACCTTGAAGTTGAAAAAGAACATTCGAAATTCATAATCACGCACTGAGACGATTTATTTTGGAATGGATTTAAGCAATGTTTCGAGTAAATATAAATTGAATACTTATCAATTATTTTTTCTTTTTTTTTCCAATGTTTGAAATAAACTGAGAAAATTAAAAGAAATAAAACTTAAACATATACTTAAGACATAACACTTCTATGTATGCATATGCGAACACGTAGCACGAACAGCAAAAACCTGTTAAGCCTTAAAACAAGGAAAATTTAGTAATTTCTCTTTTTACTTTATCCTACACCGTTTAGTAAATTTACGATCTATAAACCCGTTTTCGAGTTCAAATTTTCTATTTTACTGTAAATAGCAAAATTAACTAGTATACAGTACTAGTATATCTTTGTTACGACAGTAAATAAAGACGTGAGACTTCAAAAATGGGCTTTGCAGACGTATTTCTGTGACCAACTTAGACGATTTTAAGAAAAGGCTCTGGAATCTCCAGGATTTTTAATAAAGATTTTATTTGCTGCTTGTTATATACTTTTTGAACTGGTGAGGGGCCGATTTAAACGTTTACTTATAACAGTTCAGGCATCTGGTAAACGATCTCGTCTGTTAGATTCAAATATTGCCAATGCACGAACTCAATCATTTCCAGCAAATGCTTCATCAATCATAAACCTACTCAACGGGGGACTGGAGAGCAAGAGGCTTTTAAACTCTAATGGTTCATACATGTATGGGCAGCAAGCGTATATCGGCAGGTTAGCGTTTCAAGAAAAAATAACATCCGTTGGTACTTCGCTCATATTGAAAAATGCGAGCAGAGAAGATTTAACGCTTATTTACCAATTATGAGGCTTTTACCTTCAACATCATTAAGCGATTTGAAATTGAAAAAGATAGTGTCCAATATTCAGCCATTCAAGGTCACCTCTGTCACTATTGTGCAAACCATCAACATCAACGTAGAGTATATTGAAACGAAAACTCTCCACCCATTGACTGCCGCTTCCGTCCTAGTCATTTAGGAGGACGATCTTAGTTTCGAGACAGAGTTGTAGAGTAGTAGAGTTCCAAAAGTACGTGTGTAGATTCAGTGTGTGTGTGTGTGTGTGTGTGTGTGTGTGTGTGTGTGTGTTCATTGGGGTGGGATACCCTCTACCAGGGCCAAGGATTGGTTTTTTATCTGATATTCACAGAAAAGTGAACATAATTAACCAGCAGTGACATATCTGCGAATATATATATATATATATTAAGTGAAAATCACTCTGCAGCCTTAGTGGAGGGTAAGAGAGGGGGTGGCAGTCCGCCAAAACGGTGAGTTATCTACATATTAACACATTATTAACAAGCTAAATTTTGCGTGTGCAAACTTAGGGGACCTTGTACACGTATTGCAATATGGGATGGTGAATCTTTTCAGCAGTGTATCATGAATGTACGAGTGAAATTTCGTTTAATGTTCAGTCAGAAAACTTTTTTACAAAAAGGAATGGTACTATCAAGTGTACAT